TTGAATCTTAAAAGAGTGGATTGTTGTACGAGGGAGACAAAGGGTTCTAATCCATTTCAATTGCACAAACCTAAACTTCTGGGACACGCTGGAATCCCTCCTGCAAAACAGTTAAGAGTCTGGTGGTATCCAAAGATTTTCTTAATTCATCAATCAATCTATATAAGTTTCTTGTTCTAGCCAAAGTGACAACAGTACCAATAAAATAATACAGATCATACAGGAACTCACAAGAAAAAAAGATTTCTCACACAGCGGCTGAGCTGCTCTCTGTAATTCCGGCTTTGTCAGGAAACCCCGGGAGTGAGGATTCTGGAAGAAGGGTCAAAAAGGCAGGATAGATTTTACATTTCCTCCCAGGATTCCCACCTCTTAACACTGCCCCACCTTTGCTGACTTCTTAAAGAGGATTCCAAAACAAAAGCCACTCCCACAATCCTCCAATGTTCAGGTCTTCATCATGCACCTGGGGTTTCCCCACAAGCCTTCTGGGAAAGGTGGGCTCTAGGTTCTCCCCCTCCCCAAATGTTATGTTTTTGAGCTTACTGTATTCTGCATCAGCTGTTATCTTACCACACTGTCCTGGTACAGAGCCACCAAAATGGCAAAGGCTCCAGAACGGGGATCTGGGAAGTACCTCCGGCCACGCTGGCGTGATACTGGTTGCTTCTTCTGAAAAAGGAAAACCAGGTGTGTCTTCTTCAGGGACTCCACCAGTCTTAAGAACATATGAACACAAGGAAAAGCCCTGCTAGGTCAGGCCAGAAGGGGCCCATCTAGCCCAGCATCCTGTTCTCAGTAGTCATTCAGGTGCCTCAATAGGAAGTAAAAATTATTTGTTGCTCCGTCTACTTTCGCCTCTGGCCCCACCCACCACCAACATGTGCCCCCTGCCAGGTGGACCAGAAAGGAACCCGGCTCTCCATTGAAAAAGGTTCCCCATCACTAGCCCAAAGTGACTTGGTAAGCATGTGACAGAAGCAAGAGTTAAACCAGGGACTTCCTGATTCATAGCTAGTTCTCAATGCCCTTCTATGGGATAAAAGTGGAAAATCGGGGTGGGAGGTGGGGGAACTGACCCAATACTGTTCCATGTTTTCATGAGCAAACCAGGCCGGCTACCTTCCCTGACGGCTTCCCTGCCAGCCACAATGCCTCTTTTCAAAATTTGATGAAAGGTCTTTTATGTTGCAAGGCCTTTGACCATTCAGGGAGGAGCAGAGTGCGCGCTTTGTAGGAGAGCATTTTGGCGGGCGGGCTAAGAAGCGAAATGGATAAATGTGCTTTCGGCACCATCCACTGGGAAAGCTGCCTGCCCCAGGACCCATGGAAATATGAAAGGCAGCTGTGCGTGGCCACTACGTGATCCTCAGCCACACCTCTCAGAGGTGCGGCATAGCAATGTGGCAATCAAACTTTTTTTGCGGGGGGGCAGGACAGCAAAGAACCAGAAGGCAGTAGCTTTTAAAGCTTGCACCATGTGGTTTAAATTGCACAACACAAGCTGTCAAGTTACACAGGACTCCATTTCAGGCCAGTGTTCAAGCAAATGATGAATAGATGAATTTTTACTTCTTCTGGTTGACAGCAAGAATGGGTATTAATCCATCCATGAAGCTGTAGCCCAAGAGGGAGTGAGAAACTCAGGCTTGGAAGCCAAATGTGTTCCTCTGAGCCTCTCCCTAAGCGACACCCTATTTATTTATTTATCTATCTATTTAGAAAATTTATATACTGTACTGCTGAATTATGACAGCATCTAAGGGGTGTGCAAGAAAGTCACCAATACAGTAAGTAAATCAGAATTCAGTCAAAATCCCAGCTGAAATGTCTTCAGTATGTGCTGGACATTCAGCAGAGAGGGGGCCTGCCTGATCTCAAATGGGAGGGAGGTCCTCAAAATCTGAGTCACAATGCTGAATGCACAGCTCCTGGTGGATTTGAGGTGGGCATCCAAGCCAGGCGGGGGGTGGGGGAGCACTAACAGTGACTCTACTGAAGACATCAATGATGAGGAAGGGATCAGGCGGTCCTTAAGGTATCCTGGACCCCCTTGTAAATTAAAACCAGAACCATGGGTGCTTTCGTTTGGCTGGAATGTGTCTTTAAACTGTAATAATGTCTCTTACTTGCCTGGTGGAGGATGGAGAAGAGTGTGGGTGTATTTACAGTATATAGAAACCACTAACTTTTGCATGGCTGAAATGCAGCCTGCTGTACAAAGGTTAGGAGTGATGCCCATTTGTCCTCCCGCTTTTGACTCTAGCCCCACCCACTTGTGCCTCTGGCTGCACCTACCACTGCTGGTTGCCAAGGAGAGAAGGCTTGAAAAGGTTCCCCAACCCTTGTTCTAGTCTATGACCTGCACCATCATTCAATGAATGTTTGGCAGCCCATTCTGATGATGATGCACATGTTGCATTCTCACCTTTAAGTGCTTGGCACGGGCATGGATGAGCAGACTTGGGTAATCTGCCAGCGCAGCAGTGGCTGGGACAATTTGTGGGGAAAGATCACAGCATCGTCACCCTACCCCAAATCCACTCAGCCCCACTCCAAGAGACGGGAAGAGGAAAAGAGGGGAAGTGGGCTGCCTCTTGAATTTAGGAGGAAGTCGCCCAGGCAGAGAGAGTTGAGACATGGCCATACTAATTGTTCAATTGCTTGTAAGGGCAAGGTATTTACACAGACCTTTAAGCACTGTCCTTTGTTTTGATCTGGCTCTGTGGCAAAGAGGGCAGGCTGGAGCGCTTGATCCTTCTGAGAAGAAGCTGTGGCATACAGACCTGGAATTCACAGTATAAACTCTGTTTAATAGATGTTTAGTGGAGACTAATGAAATTCCACAGCTGAGACCAATGAAGGAAATTTGCTCATATGTGCACTTCTCTCTTCCCCCTGCCCCCCCCCCCCACAGAGGAAGAGACAGAGAAAGAGAGAGGGGGCAAAAGAGCAAGCAGCCATGAACGCATTAAAAGACTAAGCTTTCCAAATGCCAACGTCCTGCTTAGCTTTGGTTCGTTTAATGAAATGTTACCAGTTTTCAAGTTTACATTTCACCATAGCCATAAGGACTAGAAACCTGTGCAGCTTTAGTGATAAATGAACACCCCCAAGGCCCAACCTAGATGATGCCAATTCCCATGCTGTCCTGTTCATATCAGCCCTAAACAGCCTTAGACTGCAATCCAATATGCAGCTACCCGGGAGTTAAGTGTGGGTCTGGCTTCTGCATAGACATGCACAGGATTGCACTGTGAGGCCTGCCTGCATCTATTGGAATTTCCCCTCATCACCTGACACCCTCCTTTTTATTCCACCCCTCTGATGTGCAGGAGTCGGCTACCCAAAGCACAACATTCACTCTGCCAGCATGTAAATGTGGAACTTCCTCCCAGGGGATACTCACCAGGCTCCTCCTTGAATATGACTTAAGTGACAAGAGAAGACTCTACTTGTTTCAGAGGGAAGAGCCAAAACACAGTGGAAGGGTACTTTCTTTGCATACAGAAAATCTCAGAGTCAATCCCTGGCATCTTCAGGTAGGACTGTATGAAACTCTGGAGAGCTTTTGCAAACCACTGTGGGCAAGCAATCCTGTGCTACATGGACAGATAGTCTGACTCAGTATATACCAGCCTCCTATGTTTCTATTTAAACCAGCCCTTTATTCAGTACCATGAGGACTAGAATCTTGCTTTCTATTTAAGGAACAGACTCGAGCACACATTGGACCTTCACACGGCTGCCCCACCACTCACCTGTCACATCTGTGCCATCCTGGGCTTGGCAGTGTCTCTCCAGCCGCTCGTCTAGCTGGCGGCAGATGTGGTCACCAAAGTACTGGAGGATCCGAGCCTCGCGCCCGCTGCGCAAAGGGAGTGGGTATTTGCGGAGAGAGCTCAGCGCCTGAACACAAGGAAGAGGATTTATTGTTTTAATAGTAAGGAGAGGTGCACATGGTTTCCCCTGTCTCTTCACTTTGACTAACAAGGAGAGCAGTTCAGGCTGGGGCCACAACCACTCTGTGAAATTTGAACTAACCCATACATATTCTCTTTGGTCAGTTCATAGTTGCTGATACTTAGGGCTGGATCCAGACTTCAATTTCAACCCGATACTCACTTTATTTGGGAGTAAGATTTCAGTGGGGCTTATTGCTCAGTATACAGTATATGTACAGGATTGCTTTGTAAGTGATACTTAGAAGATACATATTGAAATTAGTAACTAACATGGGTGGACTCCAAGTCAAGATCTTACCCATCATTTATGCATGTTTATCGATCCTGCTTGTTCAGCCAAAAACAGAGCTCCCATAGCAGCTTTACTCATAGCTAAGAATAAGGTCCCTGCCCGAAGGCTTATAATGTTAAGGCATAGCACTAGAGGAAAATGTATTGGGAGAGAGGAGGAAACAAACAATTTCAGATGCAAGTTATCCTAATGGCCAGCTGGGGAGAAAAGTCCAAGAAGTTTAATATTATGTGTTAGCATTATATTACTACATTATAAACTGGGTACTGAGGGGAATCCAACGAGCGCGAAGGGGGATATGGGCGGAGCAAAACACCCGGAGGGCGTGGCCTGCCACTAGAGGGCGTGGCTTACCCGTTCATAGGCGCGTTGGCTCCTGAGGCGCCCACGCTCGGCGGCCTGGTCGCGCCACTCCTGGAGCCAGCGCGTAAATAAGGGGTTCGGGCCCCCCTGAGTGGGCTTCGGCATCTTCCGAAGGCGCCGGAAAGTATCTCTTTTCTCTTTGACCCGGAACTCGACGGGGAGATGAAGCGGGGAAGGCAGAGCGGCCTGCCAGGCAGCGACTGCGCACGCGCGCTTCGCCCCCTAGAGGCCGACGGGCGGAACCGTAGACGCATGAAAAGGGAAGAGCGGCCGCTTCCGCGTTCCCGCTCTCAAGCAGCCTTCTCTCCAGAGGCGAAAGTGAGAGAGGCGCCTGGGCAGGTCAAAAATGACAGCCGCTTTGCCCGCGAGTCGGTGGGGCAGGATGAGTCTCCCGTAGGCAACTGAGCGCTGGATTTGGCTCTGGGGAAGGTAAAAAGAAATACGACTCGCCTTTGCTCGCAAAAGCCAACCAGACCCACCTGAGCCTCCCACCAGTAAGCATCGCAGACCTGTGAAGCCCCTCCTGCAATAGGGCATAGCTGTCAACTTTTCCCTTTTCTTGCGAGGAATCCTATTCGGAACAAGGGAATTTCCCTTTAAAAAAGGGAAACGTTGACAGCTATGCAGTAGGGGTGTCATAGCGGGCAACACTGCAGGGTTGTTGCAAGCTACTGTACTGTTTCAGTCTCGGCCCTACCTGCATTGGGGCCAATTACTACTGGAGTGCATTTTGAAGGGCCCTTGCAAACTACTCTCTCGGCTTCAGGCAAGCCTCCATTCTGCAGTACTCAGAAGACACTGCACCGCAGGGCTGTCGCAAGGCACTCCCAACTACAATCTCCAACCTGCACCATGAAAATAATGAGATGCATGTGCGTTTGTATTAGCTGGGCTACTTTATGAATATGTTGAAAAACTTCTTCTTTTTTAAGGAAAGAGGTAGAGCAGAAGCGCCCCTCTTTGCTGCGATCTGTTTTGGGGTGTGTGGACGCACTAAGAGTTGTATCCAGTAGATGCTCTGATAATAATGAATGTGATCTCACTTCGGCCAATTTGTTACAATGGATCTACCCTGAACAGAGATTAGTTGGCAGCAACTCTAAACGCCCAGTCACAATTATGTGGATATAGTAGACCAGGCTTCCTCAAACTGGGCCCTCCAGATATTTTTGGCCTAAAACTCCCATGATCCCTAGCTAGCAGGACCAGTGGTCAGGGATGATGGGAATTGTAGTCTCAAAACATCTGGAGGGCCGAGTTTGAGGAAGACGGTATTAGGCTTTCCCCATGGATTACTATGAGCTGCTGCTTCTCCCCTCTTTGGACCTGGGATACATTTAAACTGCTCAATCCCTTTCTAACAGGAGATGCTGCATGCCTTCTGCATTCAGTGCTGATGCTTTGTCACCGAGTTACAGTCCCTCCCATGGAAGGGAAGAAGCTGCAAATTATTTGTCCATCTAGGCCAGTGGCACCTGCTTTGACTGGCAGCCGCTCTCCAGGGTTTCCACCAGAGAAGGATCTTTCTTTCCCATCACCTGCTACTTTGATTCTTATACCTGAAGCTGCCAATTATTACTCTGCTCCTAAGTGCCTTTTCATGTTTACATAACACAGATTAAGATTGCTGCCTTATTAAGAGAACCTTAATATGCACTGCTCCGCTTTGCAAATTTAAAAAGACATCTGTGAACCAGGAAGGGCCATTTCTCAGTGGTTTGACCACAATTTTTGCATTCAGGAGATCCCAGAGGCTCAATCCCCAGCATCTCCAGGTAGGGCTGGCAGAGAGCCCTGCCTGGAGAGCTGCTGCCAGTCAATATAGTTAGATGGACCAGTGGGTCTAATTCTGTATAAGGCAGCTTCCTATGTTTCAGAATAGATTCTCTCTATATAATCTCCAAGGTAATTGTCATGGCCTCTGGCTAGCACAATAAATTTATTGAAGGAGTGGACCTCCAAGGTGGCACATGGTTCATGAGACGGGGTTGGGGGGAGTAGATGGAGTAAGACTGAAATCATCCTTCCGCTCCTGCTGTCAGGTGTGTAGTCATCCTGTGTTCTTTGAAGATTGCTCATCAACAGGCAGGCAGAGGCACTGTATGTGCTAAAGGTGTGGTTACACCTAATTCAATAAGAGGCAAGCCGCGTGAGCAACAGAGAGGTGCTGTGAAGTCAGCTGCCTGCAATTTGTCATAGCTCTAACACACCCTGCATGTCTGCTTGCAGCTTCCGAAGGGTCTTCTGCATTTGGATGTTTTGTATAAGATTTTTTTTTGGTGGTACTTGGTTCTTTCACTTACATGCACATTTATTGAATTAAATTAGAATGTGGAATCATGATTTATAATTTGGTACAGTATTTGGTTTTGAATGTGGAAATTGTATTGTGTTTCTTACACAGTGGGACCTCGGTTTTCGAATGTTTCTATTGACGAATGTTTCGGTTTACGAACGCTGTAAACCTGGAAGTAAATGCTTCGGTTTTCGAACACACCTCGGAAGTCGAACATGCCACGCAGCTTCTGCCGAGTGCAAGATCCTGAGGCCTAGCTGTTGGCACCCGTGAACCACAGAGGTGATATTTGGGCTTATTTGGTGACTGTATGCAATCAATCTGTGCTCATCTCATCTCAGGAGCTCTCTTGCAACCAGTTTGTTTTTGTGACTGTGGAACCCAGTGCATAAATCTGTATTCATCTCATCTCAGGAGCCCTCTGCCAATCACCCCGTGCTGTGAGAAATGGATAAAAGCTGCAAAGCCAAGAGAATCCTTAACAGAATAACAATAGAGGTGAAGAAGGAAATTATTTCCAAACATGAAAGTGGTGTCCGTGTAAGTGATCTGGCAAAGCAGTTTGGTATTGCCAAATCTACAGTTTCTAGCATCTTGAAAAATAAAGAAGCCATTAAAGGAGCCAATGTTGCAAGAGGTGTTAAAACACTTACAAGACAAAGAACACAGACAATTGAAGAAGTGGAAAAATTGCTTTTCATATGGATAAATGAAAAACAGTTGGCGGGTGACCGCATTTCTGAGAGCATGATTTGTAAAAAAGCTTTACATTTGCATGCTGACCTCATCAAAAGCACCCCTGGAACAAGTGCTGAGAGTGATATTTTCAAGGCAAGCAGAGGGTGGTTTGATAATTTTAAGAGGAGAAGTGGCATCCACAGTGTGGTGAGACTTGGTGAAGCTGCCAGTGCCATCAAAGAAGAGGCCAACCGATTTGTTTTGGCATTTAAAGATTATGTAGAGGCAGATGGTTTCCTTCCCCAACAAGTTTTCAACTGTGATGAGACAGGCCTCTTTTGGAAGAAAATGCCAAAGAATACCTACATAACAAAGGAGGAGAAATCATTGCCAGGACACAAGCCCATGAAAGACAGGCTAACCCTTTTATTATGTGGGAATGCAAGTGGAGATTTTAAGGTGAAGCCTTTGCTAGTCTACCATTCTGAGAACCCCTGGGTATTTAAGAAAAACAATGTCATAAAAAGCAAATTGCCTGTGATGTGGAGGGCAAACAGCAAAGCTTGGGTAACCAGGCAATTTTTTATTGAGTGGGTTCATGAAGTGTTTGGGCCAAGTGTAAAAGAATACCTCCAGTACAAAAATCTTCCAATGAAGTGCTTGCTTGTTGTGGATAATGCTCCAGCTCACCCTCCAGGGTTGGAGGAAGAGTTGGTGGAAGAGTTCAGTTTTATCAATGTAATGTTTTTTCCCCCCAACACAACTTCTCTCATCCAGCCCATGGACCAGCAGGTCATACCTAATTTTAAGAAGCTTTACACCAGAGCACTGTTCCAAAGGTGCTTTGAGGTTACCTCAGACACAGAGCTAACCCTCAGAGAGTTCTGGAAGAATAATTTCAATATCCTACATTGCTTACATCTTATAGACAAAGCATGGAGGGATGTGTCTCAGAGAACAATGAAGTCAGCATGGAAGACATTGTGGCCAGAAGCTGTCCCAGAATGTGTATTTGAGGATGTTGAAGAGGATGCTCCTATTGTTGAGGAGATTGTGTCTCTGGGAAAGTCCATGGGCTTGGAAGTGAGTAGTGATGATGTTGAGGAGTTAGTGGAGGACCACAAGACGGAACTCGCCACAGAAGAACTTCAGAACATTCTGAAGGAGCAGCAACAGGCGGCAACTGAGGAATTGTCTTCGGAGGAGGAGGAGGAGGAGGAGAGAAGAGACAGTGTTCCTACTGCACTGATCAAAGAAATGTGTGCAAAATGGGTTGAAGTGCAAAGTTTTGTTGAAAAATATCACCCTGATAAAGCTGCTGTAAGTCGTGCCACTAACACTTTCAATGATAATGCTATGTCTCACTTTAGACAAATTTTAAAACACCGGAAAAATCCTTTTTGTTCAGATTTGTAAACAGCTAAGGGGGTTTATGTTGAAATATGAAGTGGTACATAAATTAATTAACTCCTCCTTGTGAAACTTGAAAGCCTCATTATCACCTCACTTGCCAAAACAAGGAGCATCTGCCAGTCACCCTGGTGCTCCAGCAGATGACACCATTGCTCCAGCTCTGAAAGAAGTCCCAGAGCTGGGTTCCCCGTGGTCCACCTCTATTATGCACCACCAATGGGGGAACAGGGTGCTGACCTTCTGTTTCACTGCCTGCTTCAGTGACTGGTGAGTTCTGAGTAGGGATCAAAGATGGGGGGGGACCCCAGTTAGAGCTGTGTTTAGCAAAAGGGGGGAGAGTCTGAGGGGGGATGATTGCAATGGTTTCATTTTTATTTATAATTGTAACCTGTCCTGGGACATTATGGCAAAGGGCATGTAAAAAATTAAATAAATAAAAGAGAGGCAAGGTTTTTGACGCAGCATGGCATTTGGTTAGCTTCATATGTCTTTTTTTAAAAAAAGATATTTATTAAAGTTTTCGAAATGTTACAAAAAGAAAAAAGAAAAAGAGAAAATACAAAGTAAAAACAGTTAAAAACAATTCAATCTTTCCGTATCTTATCTTTCATTTGCGTGTTCCCCAGACCTCCTCACACCTCCCTTTTTTGTATTCCAGTTCAATTAGTTGGTTCAGCAAATCCTTTCCCTCTTTGTTTTTATCCTAATCTTTAATCTTAATATATTATAATTTTAGATTATCACCTGTTAACAATCCATTTTTACACATTCCTTTATGACATTACTGCTAAAAACCACTTAACTTCAATCCAACATCATTCTAACATTCATTAATTTTGCAGTATTTCTGTAGATAGTCTTTAAATTTCTTCCAATCTTCTTCCATATGTCACCAGGGAGTAGGGATGAATTGTAGAAACAAGAGTCCACGAAAAGCCCAAGCCCTTGAAACTGATTGCAAAGTTAGATTGCAAACTTTAATCTAAGCCCTTCTTCAAGGCTGCCTGTAACAGCGTCACATCATAGTGTTTCCCCACAATAGCCAACCAGGTGACTCTGAGGCAATTAGGCAATAACCCACTCTCCCCCTTCGTGATCCCTGGCAACCAGTACTTTAGGTTTACTGCCTCTGGACCCAGAAGCTTTATTTTGCAGCTAAATTTTAGCTACTCCTTACCTCCTGCTGCAAAGCCACGCAGCCCAGCACAGAAGGCTGATTTCCAAGACCGTAAGGTCAAGCCATCTTCTCACCAGCTGCTTTGCAGTCTAATCTGCTATTGCCAGGAATTTTGCCGCCACTATATGAACTCCAGGAATTTGTCAGCTTGTAAATTTATCCGGTGTGTAGACAGGCGGATGGATGGATGGAGATCCTTGCAGATTAGCCAGGCAAAATGGTAAAAGGGTGGAGGGAGCCAAAATGGGGAGTTTACAGGGGAGGAAAAACCTTAGTGCCCAATCCATCTAGACATCACTGCACGGAAAGACCCTCAGAGCCATTGGAATTAGGGTAGCCATGTACCCTATTTTAGAGGGCAGTCCCTCAATTTAATGTTTGTAGGGCTGTCTGATCGAAGTCTGGTTAAAGAGAAAGAACCATCAGAAGTGCGGGGGGGGCATGAAGTTGCCCACCAGAGCAGGCACACAGATTGCTCCCCCCCCCATCTCAACTTGTTCCCCACTATGCTGAAACATGGGCATAGCTAGGATTTTGTTGGGGGGCAGGCTTTTGTTAGGGGGGGCAGAACCTCAAGTACTTTTATTGGTTTAGGGGAGGCAGCTGCCCCCCCCTTGGCTACGCCCATGTGGTGAAACACTTGGGGTTTCTATTATTACTCCTGCATTTTCACGGATAAGTAACAAGAACAAAACAACATTAAATGGTAACATTCCAAGTCTTCTGTCATTACAGGTGTACAAATTGAGAGAGGAGAGGTTCAATTTTTATATAAAAAACTAATTGTCATACTTTAGTCCTTAACCTCCGCCCTCCAAAAAACAACCACCTACCATTTTTGTATTGGGCTGGAATGTAGTGATCCTACTTTTTAATGTTCTCATACAAAATAAAATCCCACCAATCTAAAACTCTGGGTCCACTGACCCCCTGCATAATTTCAACTGATGCATTAATCTTTCTGGCAGGGTAAATAAATACTGTATACGTATATGTACTGCAGCAATAATCTATTGGTAATGTTTGCATCTTTCCAACCCTGAGGGATCACCTGTCTGGCTGCTGCTAACAAAATGTAATGAGTTCCCTTGAAGGTAAATTAGACTTGCCCCCTGAGAACACAGGGAGCAAACACAGAATAGTATCATCTACCACTTCATTGGCCTATGATGGCACTAATTTCTTTGAATACTGGCTTCTAAAAAACCTCTCAGAGCTTCAATCCCTCTTCCCAGGGAATTCTGGGAACTGTAGCTCTGTGATGGGAATAGGGTCTCCTAGCAAACCCAAATCCACGAAATTAAAAGACGCCTTCTCCTTGGGAGAAAGGCGATGGCAAACTTAGACAGTGTCTTAAAAAGCAGAGACATCACCTTGCCGACAAAGGTCCGTATAGTTAAAGCCATGGTTTTCCCGGTAGTGATGTATGGAAGTGAGATCTGGACCGTAAAGAAGGCTGATCGCCGAAGAATTGATGCTTTTGAATTCTGGTGCTGGAGGAGACTCTTGAGAGTCCCATGGACTGCAAGAAGATCAAATGCATCCATTCTTAAGGAAATCAGCCCTGAGTGCTCACTGGAAGGACAGATCGTGAAGCTGAGGCTCCAATACTTTGGCCACCTCATGAGAAGAGAAGACTCCCTGGAAAAGACCCTGATGTTGGGAAAGATGGAGGGCACAAGGAGAAGGGGACGACAGAGGATGAGATGGTTGGACAGTGTTCTCGAAGCTACAAACATGAGTCTGACCAAACTGCGGGAGGCAGTGGAAGACAGGCGTGCCTGGTGTGCTCTGGTCCATGGGGTCACGAAGAGTCGGACACGACTAAACGACTAAACAACAACAAGCAAATCCAAGCACCTGTTGTTGTTTTTAAAAAAACTACAGTTCCCAGGATTCTTTGGGGGAAGCCTGCTTAAAGTGGTCTAATACTGCTTTATAGCGCCAATGGGGCCTAAGTAAGTTCCAGGCTCATTCTCCCACAAAACGTAGGCTCCCAAAAGTACCCAATTTACATTTGGAAATTACCCTTATGCAACCCTTCCACTTCTGCCACACCAATAGTTCAGAAGTTGTTAATGAATTCCTGCATTGTAGAAGGCTGGGCCAGAAAACCCTTGGGTGTGCCTTCCAACTCTACAATGCTATGATTTTATGAATGGGTTGCTTGTTCAGCAATTGCTGGATTCCAGATAGAATTTTTTTTTGGGTGGGGGCGACAACACCACTAGGCTGCATGATTTGACATTACTAGGCCGCTTGGGAAAATCAGTTAGGCCTCTTGGTGTGTGTGTCACATGTGCCAATCAGGGAATTTGTCCTTCCACCAGGTGAGTGGGAATGAGGCTCTAAATTTAATTAATAAAGGAAAGCCAGGTGGCAGCAATTAGCAGGGCCCAGCCAGCAATCCCGCTGTTTATCTTACATCAGTGGAAATAACAGGGCACAGGAGAGGCGGATGTAATGACTGGGATCCCATCTACAGCTCCCTGTTGGGTGTTGCCTATTGTGAAGGTAACACACGCACGCACACACGTGTGGAAATCTCCAGGGTTTCCCCCCTCCCCCACTTTCCCTTTCCCTCCCCCCTCCTTTTCTTTGCACGGCTTTTCCTTCCCAGGAGAGAAGGCAAAAGGAAGCCCTGCAGTGCCCACCCACGGCGGCAGGGGGGCGCCCGCGTGCCAGGCGCTGCGCCTCCTCGCCGCCGCTCCACATGCCCAAATAAGGGCAAATCAGGTTGTGAGAATCAGGGAGGCGCTTGAGGGTTTGGCTCGCGCGACGCCTTATTTGGAAGCGAGAGAAGCGAAGGAGAAGGAGGGCGGGGGAGAGCAACGAGCGGTCCGGGCAGGGCGCGCGGAGAGGCAGGCCGCACCAACAGCAGCAGCTGCAACGTGCACGCGCCTGTGTGTTGCAGAGAGGAAAAGGAGGGGGAGGAGGGAAGGACGCGCGCCCGGCTCGCCGCTACACAAGTCCCCCTTTGTCCCTTTCTGGTGCATCTGTGCAAAGGCTTAGAATTGCGTGCATCAAAAGATGCTGAAGCCTTCCTTCCCTCTTTGAGATGGAGGGTGGGGGTGCAATGGAGGAGATTTGCTGCAATGCGGAGGGGCACTTCTCATCTCTCTCTCCCCTCTCCAAGCCTTCCTTGATCTCTCTGTTTCTAGTGCCTCCCCCCACCCTCGGAAACAGCAAAAAAGGGGCTGCAGCAGTGGCGATCTGATCCACGCTCTACATCCAATGCACATCTCCTGCGAAAGTTAAAGGATACTGGGAATTGTAGTTGTTTGAGGCAGAAAAAATTCCCCGGGGTTCTTTGTGCGTGTTGTATTTTTTGCATGTGTTTTATATGTGTGCTGTGCACCTACCCTGTGTGTGCCTGTGCCTCATCCTGGGGGTTCCACTTAAAACACAGTTTTGGCACAAACAAGGGGGTGTCAATAGCTGCAGGTGGGGGAGGCCTTGTAGCCCTCTCTCCCTCAATGAAGAACCTCTCTTTTAATTAATTTTTGCAAAGGATAAGGAAACAGTTGGTTGCGGCCTTCTCTCTGGCAGTGCAAACTGAGGCATGCCTACTCTGAAGTAAGGAAGGCCTATTTGAGTTTAGTGAGCTTTAACCCCAGGCAAGTTGAGTCCAAGGTGCAACACAGAGTGAATCAACCACCTCTCTCTTTGAGAATCTTTTTTAAAGGCCTTTTTGGAAATGGGAAAGAGCGATGAAGATGCCGCAGCATGATCTAGGTGTGTGTGTGTCTGTGTTCAAATGTGTCTAGTCAGAAGTAAAGCCAATTGACAGCCAATGGGGCTTCCAAGGTATGTGAGTCCTTGAAAGGCTCAGTCCCAGCAAAAGCAATGGGTGCCTCCCAGCATCTTGCCTGGCCCTCAGGACTCTCCCCAA